ATGCGTAGTGCTGATACGCAGAATTCTCCCTGAAGAGAAACAGCTTGCCAAGTAGCCATCGATATAAGAAAACACTATAAATCAATGCAGTAAAGGAGGGAACTTAATTTACAACTTAAAACAGGTTGGCCTTCCTTGAAATTTCTGGAAATCATTCAGGGGCACAGAAATCGATCTACTAAAAGCAAATAAAATGGATTCTTAATATTGGCAACTGTGTCCTTTTTTAAAAAAGTTCTGAAGGAACAGCTTTCAGGGACAAGTTTATTAACCATTAAGGAATTACTTGATATTTAGTTTCCTTGCGAACTATTCAAGGAAAAGTGTCGATGGCCTTATGAGAAGATGAATTTTTGTTGTGCCAAACATCACCTTCAAAGCTGCACTCTCTATTCTGTCAAAGATATGGAAATCAAAAACTAAATGAAATAGAGCTTCTATGTAGGAGACAAGCATTGCATCATATTTTAGAGTGCTGCTTTACATTGAAGTGTCTCAACATGAAGTTGAACACATTTGCATATTCCCCATTCCTGACAAAGGGTTGGCATTCTCAACAAGAATAACTGTGGCTGATGGCAATCTTCATCTGAGGAGATTTGTGCATGTTAGCAATACACCATCTTCTGTCAGCTCAAGAAGAGCATATGGGGCCCATTAACTCACCAAATCTGCCACTGTTCTGCAAATTTTTATTAAGCAAGTGCAGTTCCTAATAGTCACTTGCGTTATCGAATGCGTATCAAATGCTATCAATAAGCCAGGGGATTATTTTCCCCCAGTGAGAATGCATTTGAAGTGTACAAGAAGGCCTGACAAAAGAATAAAACACTTTAAGTGATCGCTATATTAATATAAATGGATTCTACTGGGGAGCCAATATGTTTATGCACTTTAATGTTTGCCACTATTAAGTTCTCAAAGTGCCATCTTTTTCGTAGATTTTTCTCCCCATAATTTATTTATTTACGGTTTCTCTTCCATACAGTGAACGTGGTTGAAATGAAAAGGCAATGTATGTTTATCAGCTCTTTTTAAAAAGGCACTGTTTATCTACACTTTTTAAAAAGGTGCCATTGATTTTGACCTGTTCTAACGAGCTCAAAGAATAACTGGGAATGTAGGCGGGCAGGCTCTGTGTTTTCCAGAGAGGTCATCCTGGCCAGAGGGCAGACCCTGGAATTGGGAAACATCCAAACCCAAGAGTGGCCTCCTTATGAAGCACTTCTCAGTAATTAAATCCAGGAAGTCCATCAATCTGGAGATGAATTCTAGGAAGTGTGAGTTTAGTATAGACATCCCAAAGATCTCTCTGGAGGCACAAGTCCATAGCACCCTATAAGTATTTAATAATCATATATATATATAATAAAATATAGAAATATGTTAATTAAACCAGGATGCTGTAAAGGGTCAACCAGACAGGAGGAGGTTGCACACACAGCATCAGAGGCAGGACAGCAGAGGCCTCTATGTGCTTGCGTTGGGAGAGGGCCTGATTAGCAGCAGCCATGACTGCTTCAAGGACTGGTGAGGGAGACAGGGCCAAACCTGTGGCTCAAGGTGGGCGGCGCCGTGCGATTTTGAATCACGCTCTGGTCTCCTAGTAGTTACAATAAAAAAGTCTGAATTTCATCTTCAGCAGGACTCAGCATTTCACTGGTATCTCTTCAATTACTGTAATATCCCTTTAAGGTGATCAAGAGCAAGTAGTATCGTTTCTTAGGTAAAACTAAAGGACAAGAAAGGGAAAATAATAGGCCCTGGAAACTTCAAAAAAGAAAAGAAAGGAAGAACAATCTGTCATCAGAACTAGAACCAAAGACTTTGGCTCTTGCCCCATCAACACTCTCTTACATGATGCTTGTGGTACCTTAGCATTTTGGAATGAGAGACCTTTCCCACACCAGCCCTTGTAAATAAGGTCTTGGTTTGAAATGGCATTCCTGTCATAATCACGTTGCTACTGTTCCAGTTGCCGTGCTATCTAAATATTATGCAGTGAAAAGACTAGACCCTATCTCCAGCCTCAAGAGATAACTTTACAGTAGCTCTCAGGTAATGTGAGTTATAAAGGAAGTTGAGTATTAATTATAACTTGTTATTTAAAAATAAATTGTGATGGTGTGTTTAATTTGACCTCCTTTTCTTATTTGCTACTGTTATTTAAATCACTTCCAGGCACTAAGCATGTGCATAAAGGAAGATTGTTCCCAATTTAACCTTTTAAATAAAATGTATTCTGTTAATTAAGCCATTATGGTTCCCTCTCTTTTCTATTATATTTATTCATTTTTTTCCTATCCTAAAGATAGATATTTTGGAGAGAGAACCCCTAATTTTTATGCCTATCACTCATTTGGATTTTCCACACTGTTTTTTTTTAAAAAAGCTTATGTTACTGTTCTAAAAAATTTCAAATTGTCAACTAAAACAATAAATTTCTTACTAAGAATAATAGACAGTATGCAGCTGAAAAATTAGGAAAGTACCATGTTTAACCTAATCAGACTGGGAAACTTGCAATAATACTAAAATTGGCTTAGAGTTAATGGGATAACTTATGTCTGTTTAAAAACAACAGACAAAACAAAATAATACAATCCTACCTTTCTATGAATCGTTTTTCAGAATAACTGTACATAATAAGACCCTGTAGTCTGAGTATTATGTTTTCTTTGCCTTTCTTCACCTAAGCGATGAACTGGGACTGGGAGGAAACTGGGAGGTCAAACCAGCTGTGGGTGTTGGATTATCCATAAGATATTGATTAAAAAGTCCAGTCTGAAGCACAGTACACTATCAGTTATTTCTCCCTATATTTCTTTATAATCTCAGGCAACTTAAATCATTGAGAACACCACCACCACCAAATTCATAACCTTTGCCATCTCACAGTTCTCATTTAACAAAAGCTTTTGTTTATTAAGAAATATGTAACCGGTACTGTACTAAGTGCTTTTGTACATATTTTTCATTTTATTCCCACAACACCCTATGTAGTGTTTTCATTTAATTTTTCATATGAGGAAACTAAAGTTAAAAAGGGCTTTGTGCCCTGGCTTGTTTGGCTCAGTGGATAGAGCATAAGCCTAGGGACTGAAGGGTTCTGGGTTCAATTATGGTCAAGGGCACATACCTTGGTTTCGGGCTCAGTTCCCAGTAGGGGGCATGCAGGAGGCAGCCACTCAATGATTCTTATCTTTTTTCTTTTTTTCTTTTTTTAAAATAAATTTTATTGATTCTTTACAGAAAGGAAGGGAGAGAGATAGAGAGCTAGAAACGTCGATGAGAGAGAAACATCGACCAGCTGCCTCCTGCACACCCCCTACTGGTATCATGCCCTTGACCTGAATCGAACCCAGGACCTTTCAGTCCGCAGACCGACGCTCTACTGCTGAGCCAAACCAGTTTCGGCTGATTCTTATCTTTGATATTTCAATCTCTCTCTCCCTCCTTCTTCCTCTCAAAAATCAATAAAAGCATGTTGTTGTTGTTGTTGTTTAAGAAAAAGCCTTTGTAACTTTCCTGGTAAAGCTGAGATTCAACCCACACCTGTCTCAATAGTTATGTTATTCCATTTTTCTATTTAGTTTCTCATTAATAATGATTATAATAGCTAATATTTTGTAAGCACTTTCTATATGATCTCTAAGTACTTTGCACAAACCTACACATGTAATTTTACTTCAAACCTATGGAATAAGCCTCATTTTACATATGATGAAATTGAGGCATCAAAAGTTAAATTGCATACAACTAGTAAATTTCCGAGTCAGAATTTTAACTCAGACTGATATCAGGGTAATATCAGCCTCTAAGAATAAGTTGGGCAATATTCCTTCCTCTGAATTTTCTGAAATAAGAATTTATATAAAATTGATATTAGTTCTTCTTTAAATGTTTGGTAGATAGATTCACCAGTGAAGCTATCTGTCTAGAGTTTCCTTTAAGGGAGAGTTTTTACTAAAAATTCATTAAACAATTGAACTATAGGACTACTTAGCTTATCTATTTCTTCCTGTGTAAGCTTTGCCAGTTTGTGTCTTTAAAATATGTATCTATTTCATTAGAGCTGGGTTAATCTGGAGTTATTTGTCTCTCCCACTACTGAAGCAAGGTTCCCCTTTATATCCTTATTGATGCCCCTGAATTACTAGGAAGTTTTTCACTATGTATGTTGGGAATAATGCCTATTCTCAGCCCTGTGTGAACTTTGGACACTGTTCCCTTTCTACTTTGGGGTGGTTATTTGCCAGGTCTTGGGTAGTTTTCTCACATGCATGTGATCCTCGGTATTTAACTATATATATGAGGGGCGCCTCTCTATAGCTTTCTCTGCAATTCTCTGCCCTGAAGGCTCCATCTGCCTTAGTTTCCCTCGACACCCAGCTGCATGTCCTCAAGCTGGGATGTCACTGGGCTCTGCCTGTGCTCCCATGCCTGTACGACAGCCTGGAAACTGGAGCAATTGTAGGATACATCTCACTTGTTTCCCATTTCTCAGGAGTCACTGGTCTCTGTGGTCTGATGTTTAACCTCTTTAATGTCATTGTTTATATTTTGTTTATTTTAATATTTCTCAGGAGGATTATAAATCTGTTCACTTTTACTCTAGGTTTATCATATAAAGAAGCTCAATATTGAATGTGTATACACATTTCTATTGCATTTAAAGAATTTTATTACATATTATACATCTCTAGTCCATGAATTTAGCTTCTCTTTTTGCAAGCATAGAAACAATAACCAAGTTTTTAAAAAAAAACTGAAAGTATTGAAAATAAAAGAAAATTAGAATCCTAATAAATATATCTTTCTTTCTAGCTATTCTTAACATATCTACTAATAGAAATGAGGTGCCCCAGGAGGCTGGGGAAAATTTTTTCTCAAATCCTTGCCAGTAAAAGATTTAACTTATTATGAATCTATATTAATGTATTGTTAAAAATGGCTTATTTACAAGCAGGCTGATTCTTGTCTCTTTTATTTCTTCTCAGTGCCAGATGAAAGCAAAGTTCATTCATTGGCTGGACACAAATTGGGTAAGAAATTCCTTGTAACTGACTTTCTATTCTCCTTCCTGGAAATCACTGACTTTGTTTGAGTAGCAGTTGGAACCTATTTTCATCCACCAGTCACTGAAAGGTTTGGTAATTAATACATGAGATGTCTCTGACTTCCACAAAGATGAATTATTGCTTGGCTGTGTATGTCGTGGCATAATGTATGCTGACTCAAAATGTTTGAGAGGAAAGAGTAAACGTTTCCAAAAAAAAAAAAGATTATAAAATCCAAAATCTTAAAAATGTATGCCAGCTGAACACTTAGAAAAAAAAAATTATAAAGAAACCAACCCCCAGAAAGTTTGGAAAATTTTCCCATGATGACTTTCACATAAACTGATTGGACAGAGAGTTCTGGAATAAGAAACCTTTGCTTATTTCTTTCTCATCAAGAAAGAATAGTCTTGCCCTGGCCTGTTGACTCAGTTGGGTTGCTTGGTTGGTTGTTGGAGCATCGTCCCTAAACCAAAAGGTGGCGGGTTCAATTCCCAGTCAGTGCATATGTGTAGGTCGTGGGTTTATATGGTCATGGTAGATATGGAAGGCAACTGATTGATGTTTCTCTTTTTCTACCTTTCTCTTTAAAAAAGTATACCTTGGATGAGTGTTAAAACAAAAGTCTTTTTGCCTGTCATCAAAGTGGATTGTACCCACACACAATGACTAAATTATCTTTCTTTAGACTCATGAATGAGATTCCTAGAGGTTCTCTAGAAGGTCCACAAGGATCTCTGAGTGTCCTGGGGCTCTCTCTCTCAAGTCTGAGAAACCTTCTAGTCTAAAATCCAAGCTTTTTCTCTATTGCCAAGTGTCTTGCTTTCTATCCCTTTGCCCTTCCTTCATCATTTATTCACAGTAATTGAAAACACTACCGTTCTCTAGGGGTGCACTGTTGGGGTGAGAGAATATCCATTTTACTCCTAGAATTGCCACTCCAAACAACAGAACGGGTATAATTTGTTCATATCCCTCTGTTTCTGAAACAATGAAGTCTTTCCCACCACCAGCGTCTCCTGTGTTTATGTGCCAATTATGTTTTCAGCAGTAAGTGGCCTTGATGCCTCATTACCTCCATCATGTTCCAGGGCACAGTTATGATTTTTTTTTCTTTTATTCTTTCTCCAGATTCTCTAGTGAAAACAGCAGGGAAGGGCTGGTTCACAACTTTTAGGGTTTTTTTTTGGTTTTGTTTTTTTGCTTTTTTTTTGCTTCTCTTAAGAAAGAGCCTTAGAGGTTAGATCACTGCAAAGAAAAGACTTCTGTGGGGCTGAGCAATTGCCACAAGCTGCTCATTCCTGTCATCCTCCTCCATTAAATGCTCTCCTACTGGACATGCCTTTAGGAGTCTGAGAGGGAAGGTCTCATGATCAAGGGGCCCCAAGGATAGCCTATGTTATTGTCATGCTCAATGCATGGTAATGTTGGCCGTTAGTTCTCTTACATAGTAATACTTGAAGGTCAATGCCTTTTTACATACTGGGGTAGGCTACAAGATGAAAAGTGGAAACAGTTTTAAGAATGTTTATCAGTTTGGTTTTTTGAAAAGAGCCAATGATAAAATTTCTGGGGGTTTGTTCTCCCCAAGAAATCAAATCTTATTCAAATATTCAAATATTCTTAATTTCCAAACAAAATATTAATAGCTAGTAACTATTGTAAAAGTGATTGTCAGCCTTTAAAATGGAGAATATTACTACTTAGTATATTGCTGTAATACTTAGAGTAAATTTGCATCATAGGTCTTTATATATTTATAAAGTGTTACAAAAATATCAATGAAGAATTACTCTAAGTATAAAACTTATAATAGTCTTCCAAATTTTAAAAATAGCATAATTTTAAAGATGTCCAGTAGGTTAATTGTAAGCTCTACACAGTGGCTTTGCTAGCTGATGGATAGAAATATAACAGAGATCTCTATATTATTCCCATGAGACTGTTTACATACATCCATTGTTTGAAAGAAGATTTGGGGTTATAATAAACTATCATCACAATATTCACTATCCTTATATTTTAACAACTTCTAAACCCTATCACAGCGCCTTTGGCTTTTTAATCAGCTGTCTGTGGAACCAGTGCCAATGCTGAAAAACATACTTGATAACTTTGGAGCAAAAATGGCACATGGCAAAACACAATGAAGAGGGCTAGCAAGACCCTGAAATTATACACTTCAGAGTTACAGCGAAAGCACTCTGAAAGTGTTAGTGACAGTTTTGGAAAAACCACAAAGAAGCATTAAAGAAAAATATACTACTAACATTAAGTTTATATACTTCAAAAATATACCCTCGCCATGCTCTCTTTATTTCTTTTGGAAATTAGTCTTGAATTTAACAATCCTTGGGAACTCATCCTCATATAAAAGGCTGTGTTCTGCATTTTTTTCTGGCAATTTCTCATTAGGAGTAGGTGGTGGTGGTGAAAGAGGATTAAAGGTCCATTTAATTCTGGCAACCTCTTTTAGTTAAAAAATCATTTTTAAAAGCAACCTAATACACAACTGTAGTCTCAATCTGCCACAGTCAGTGACTACTAAACTAGTTACCAGTTTGGATTGTATTGTACAGTGTTCTTTGATCATAGCTGTCTTACAAAGTCTAAAGGTTTCATTCAACTTCTTTTTGTTTCACCTTTCCCTGCTCCAGGTTCTTTCTCCGGAATATTTAGGTTTGAAAAAAGTGATTTATCTTTTGCTAAGAAGAAAGAGCATATCCCTCTGTCTATTTTCAATTACAGAAATGTGGCCAGTTGTCATGCTATCCAGGACCATAGTAAGTTAAATTCAGTCGTATATGCTGACCTAGATCTATCACCCATCCTCTTATTTGGGATGATATGCAACATTTTAATAAATTCATCTGAGTTTAAATTTCTTCTGCGTCAGCTACTTAGTGTGTAGAGAGCCATTCCGTGCCAATTTCCATCTGTTGGTCTGGCTTGGATTCCTCCCAAACTTGTGACAATATTCTTGGCACCCTTTCCTTGGCTTAATCTTGAAATGGTTGATTCTTCAGAGCTCAGATCAAATTGAAAGCTCAGGTAAGATCATCTTTCTAGCACTTTGGGCCTAGAAGATAGTGCTCCCCTCAGCTCTTCTGGAGTCAATCCAATCTTCCTGAGGCTCCTCTGAGGCCCCATCTCAGAGCCTCCCCTGGCTGCGCATCCCAGCTCAGACCTTGGCAAGAAAGACTGCAGGATGGTTCTCCCTGTGCCTGTGCAGGGTCCTCCTCCATGGGCCTGAGGTATTAATATCTGCAGAATGGAGAGGCCCACCCAGAGGAGTTAGGAGCAAAATGTTGCCTTTCATCTGGTTCTTTCAAGAAAAATCACAAGTTTCAGAGAGCCTTGCCAAACAATGAGGTATCTTTGACCTCTTTTCCTAGCTATCTCACTAACTGAATTCTGGCAAAATTCAAATCCTAGCAATGCAGGGGAAAACAAAAGCTTCAGCAAACATATATATATATATATATATATATATATATATATATATATATATATCTCAAATATATATATCTCAAATATATATATCTCAAATATATATATATTTGATAACAAAACCAGTTACTATTGATTTATATTAAATATTTTAAGGGAACATTAGAATCCAGAGAAAATGGCATCAAATCTGGCATAAATGTTTAAAAAATATATATGCTTTAACGTTGACTATACCCACTCACAAACACTGTCTGCGAAGGAATCATTCCTTCCTCTTTCTTTCCACATGCTGAATTGACACCTAGACCAATAGTTTCATGCTCCTTGGCATTCAGACAGAAAGGACTTATAAATTTTACTTTTTTTTACTGTGTCTTCATTTTTGTTGTTTTGATTTACTGCGTGGAGCTGTTTTAATATGTATTGACTGTCTGCAGAGATCTTTGCTGACCCAGCTCTTTAAGATGATGCAGTGCTGAAGAAAGCTGGCGAGTTCTTCTTTATGAGCTCTGACACATTAATTAGCGAAATGGACTAAAAAGCTTTCTGATTTCTATTTTAATTTCTTATATTCTCAAACACCTATCTATAGAGCTGTAAAACAGGCAAGTCTGTAAAAGTAATGGTTGGCAGTAAGTCCAGACCTTTTCTGAGACAAGTGTATCAATTAATGAGCAAATACTCGTTAACAATCTAGGGGATGTCTCTACATGAGGTATGTAGCAGCCAATAAGTGTGTTGATGTCTTAACACATTTTACTGATGAAGAAGCTGAAGCTCAGGGCATTTAAGGACTTGTTCTCTCAGCTGTTAACTAGTAAGTTTAAGATATGAATTCAGAACTACATGCTTTTGAGGCATTTCATTTTCCACCTGCATGGACCTAATACCTTACACTCCAGGAAATGGAGAAGAATATAAGAGTGAGACAAAGTTCTAGTTGGAAGACATGATTCATGAATTAAGAGATCCCATACATTTTTATTTAACCTTTATGATCTCTGCCCCCCAAAAAAGGAACACAACGGGTATAATTTCTCTTGCAAACTGCTATGCTTCAGTGAGCGGGAAAAGGATATTTGATCATTCTTACCATTGTTTCCTGCATGCGTGTGTACACATGTATATTTGTATGAATATATGGGTTAAGTGGAAGTATGTATGACAGAGAAAAATGCATATGACATGCAGGTGTTATATATAAATTATAGCAAATGTGCATGTGATGTATATCCTCATGGCAAAGGTTGAGGTACAATATGCAAGGTGCTAATCTGGCAGACCTTCCATTCTGTTCTAAATGCATTGTGTGTAAACTTCAAATCTAGAATGTCCATATGCAGCCAAAGGAACTTCTGAATCATTGCAAGGGAATAGAGCTCTTAAAAACATGAGGTGATTGGGTAGTCACTTGCATACAAGAGCAATGAGTTATTAAATGGCATTTCATAAATTTTGTTGAGTCTTAGTATTTCATATTTTATGGAATGTCTAAATTAAAATATGCATTTAACTTTTGGAACACCAACCAT